GAGTATGAAAAACTAGTACCATCCTACTATGCTCAACCTGATCTGCCAAAACTGACTTATGATCCAAAACAAACTTACACTTTTGTTGTTTTTGACACTGAGACTACCTGCACCGGGAAAAATGCAGAACTCTGTCAGCTGTCCGCCATTCATGAAAATCAAGTGTTTTCAAAGTACATTCTACCAACAGGAAATGTGAGTACTGGAGCTTCACGAGTGAACAAACTATCTGTTCAAAATATCAATGGAATCAGAAAATTATTGAAAGAAAACCAACCAGTGGAAACTGTCTCTCTTGATAAAGCGCTTCAGGAGTTTCACACCTTTCTTAGTCAAGTAAAATGTTCATCCCAGAAGGAAACTTGTATAGTTCTAATAGGTCATAATTCATCAACATTTGACACTCCAATACTTCTCCGGAGAAGCGACGAAAATTTTCGCAGCAAACTAAGCAACCTGAATGTTTATTTTGGCGACAGTCAAATCCTTGTCAAACATCTTTTGAAAGATAAACACCCGGCATTGCAACTCAGTGAATCGGCATCTTGCAAATCAAACCAATCAGCACTTTACTCACATCTCTTTAATGAAGAATTTGAAGCCCACGATGCCTTGGAGGACGTTAAGGCACTTGAAAAAATTCTGTTTCATTCTACACTTCAACTGAACAAGGAAAAACTCGTGAATTGTTCTGGAGTTATTGGTGTTGAACAAGCAATTGCCAGCATGACGTATTTGGATCGACGCCATGAAATTCTTCAGACATTCAGCGGAAGACTTTTCGACCCCAGGGACGACAGTGGTGCAATAAAACAATCAATGGCTCAGAAGATTGCAGGAAGTGGGCTTTCCTATTCACATCTCAAAGAGTTATATTTAAAGTTCGGAACAAAGGGGCTGCTTGCGATCCTCAGCATGCCTCCTTCCCAAAACACAGCGAGGAAACCTCGTGTCACTCGAACAAAGCGTATTCTCGATGCCATTGCAAACCACTTTCAGGAAACATTTCCGAAAGAAGAATAGTTCCTTTGGTTCCATTGTTGGTAAATTGTAACTTCATGTGTTTCCATTTAACCACATTTAAACTGCAGAAACTGGCCAGCACGTGTTGTGCCTCTGGAGGTGCTTGATGACAATGTACGTACCTCGCGTAACATTAGCCAGATTTAAATGACCGAAATTCTCCAAAACGTAGCAACGAAGCAAGGTTGTTAACGGCACTTGAAAAATAATTTACAGGTCCACTTGAACGACTAATTAAGCTGATGAAATCGACCGAAAATCGAGCGAGTGACTCTTCGAAACAAATCAAGGTTTTGACCAGCGGACAACGTATGCGCATGCGAAAAGCGGGATCTTGTAAAGGCCAGATTTTGGAAACGCGCGAGACGCGCGTGGATTTTCTTTAGACGCGAAGTGAATTATTTAAAAAACAAGTCCGGTGACCCCACTATTTTATTTTAAAATTGGGTAGTGTGGACTAAGAGAAAAGTACTGGTAAAATTTAAAAAAATTCTCTGGACCGGATTTATAGCCACTCAAAAATTACGGTTTTTAGCAATTACATAAAATCTGCTCCAGAGATTTTTTTTAAACTCTCTATAATTGCTTCCACTTCCATGTAAAATTGGATAAAATTAAGAAAAATAGGGGTCACCGAGTTAATTTTTGCGCTATTAGCGTTAGAAGCTTCATGATGGCTCTTATTTACAACCATATGCTGTTGCTATGGTAACAGCTGATGACGCCACGTGATTATGTTTTGGTTCACTGATGATTGAGCTAGTAACTGTTACCAAGAAAGTGTAAGAAAAATTATTATTTTGTTTTACTGGATCCCTCAAATGTAAAAGTGCTAGAAAACCTAAAAACTATTGTGAGCCACCTTAATAAACAAACAACAAAAAATGACAAAAACGGTACAAAACTATACAAAAATGGATTCGAAATTAAAAGGGCATGAGCTACATTAAGGCCTCAAATTTTCGTTGCAGTTTCATCTGGAATTCTTATTCATTCGAAGAATCAAGTTTTACGACGCAAATGAAACATTTAAGCTCTCTTGAACGTTTTTCCTTCAGGCCAATCGCCCTCTGCTTTGGCTTCTTGTTATTATATACTCTTTTTGTAACTCCTTTGATAGACCACCTGATAGACCAACATAACAAAAGCAGAGATGAGCCTTCCATTAGATGGTAAGTAACCTGGGAGAAGTGTTACGGATAATAATTTTAAAGATAACTTTCTATAAATTTGCAGAATACCTGGTTATGCTGCAGTGCATACACGAACCTTCTGTGATGGAATACTAACAAAATTGTTAGTTGTAAATGAATATAAGGACTCAGTCGTGTGGTAATGATAGTTGTCGTCGGAGTGACCAACTGTCTGGAAAGTTATACCGAAAGAGAGTTTCTGTGGAACATTGTTTATTTCAAGAAAATTTGGAGAAAACTGTGAGATTGTGTTAGTGATGACGTAATTAATAGTATGTAGAGGGATTTAGTGAGTTTGTTAAGGATAGTAATGCCTTTAGGAGTCGCTCCTTAGTATGAATATTGCACGTTGTTTAATAACCTAGTTATTAACTCCTTAGGATGAATATTGCACGTTGTTTAATAACTTAGTTATTAACTCCTTAGTATGAATATTGCACGTTGTTTAATAACCTAGTTATTAACTCCTTAGTATGAATATTGCACGTTGTTTAATAACCTAGTTGGGTTTGTTGAAGAAGAGTGTCCTTTCCAGCGGTTTTATTACACCAAAACATTCTTGGATACCCTCCAAATCTGTTGTTTGTAATTCGTCTTCAATCATAATCCCATTCGCTCCCAAGATCACTTCTCCTCACTGGTAAACATACCTTTCTTATAATAGTGGATCTAAAAATTCGGCATTGAACCAAATACCACCCCTTGGTCGATGTTTTTCTTTCCTCTCGATACCGGTTTCCACTCGAAAACATATTGATGCTCCCGGCCCGGGAGTGAAGCATTTCATCTTTCAACAACTTCGTGTATAAGAGAAACTCTCAATCAGTTGTTTCTTTCATCTTTCTTCTGTGCAAACAAACTTCGTTCTCTAGAATCTTGCTCCTCTACATGCAATAACTTGTGGGATGGATTTGGTCGGTGGAGGAATAGCATTTGGGGGCCATACCTTGAAGGAAAGAACTTAATTACCCGTCATTGGCAAAGTTAGTTTAGAAGAACAAGAGAAGACATTTACTTTGCTAGCATTTGTTTGAAATTAGTTTTAATAGCAAAACAATGTTATAATGATAACAATAATAATAGTATAGTCTTTATTTCAGTTCAAAGGATAAAAACACATATCCTGTGTTACAATATATTTAAAACTAAAGTAAACCATACATAAAAATTAACCTATTTACAAACGTGGATTTGAAGCATTGGGTATTGACTTTGGGGCGAAAGCACCCTTTCCTATACGTAGACTGTATGCAATATTTTTCTCTTCAGGAATGATGTGTTTAAGAGCGAGCTCATTAAGATAACCTTATCAAACATTTTTCTGTTCTGTGTCTCTAAAATACTTGAAATAATGAAGTGACAGGAACTATATCCCCGCTCGTAACATTTTTCTAAGAACTGTTGGATTTGTTTAGGATGATTCAGAGGCTCCATACGCCGGAAGGCCATTGGACGTATGACTTGAAGTAAGATTTGGAAGTAAGACTTAGAAGTAAGACTTGGACGCAAAGTGCATGGTAAATAATGAAAGAAATTCCTAGCTTAATTGAATGTTTTCGTACTTACAGAATCATACAACTGGTCCTTACCAGCACTTCTGGCACTTTCTGGGTGTACGGTGATTCACTAGGGGTTCGCTTGCATCAGTCGATCAGCTCTCGAGCCCTTTGCAGGAAGCTGTACTTTAAATGTAAAAACAGTTATAACTGGCTCTAATCAGTCACCAACGAACAAGAAAGCAGGAAGAAAAACGATAGCCTCGACTTCCGCGCTGAGGAGGTCTTAAAGGCCATTCGCGGAGTCCTTAATACGACAGAATTACAGCAATCTTCCAGCGTATTACTTTAAACCTTGAACTTCATTATCAATTTCACAACTTTCTAGAATGTCATCGGAGAGGTTATAAACTTGTTAAAAGAGACACAAGTCGACTCACAGGGCAAAGAAGGTCTAAAGTATAAGGCAAAGATCATTTGGAAATCAACTACAGCTTTATGTAAGCATAATGGAAAGAAATTTAACCCAACAGATGGCAGGTTCCTTACACCGCAGGTTTGTACATGTTGCAGGGCAACCTCTGTAATGATGATTATAAATCTAATGTCATCCTTTTTTTTCAGCGAGTCTAGTTCTCAGCCATGTGTCAAGCGGGTTTTGACATCATAGATGTGTACCCAATGACAGAGTTGTAGCCGGGGGCTACATTGGCCAATAACATAGTACCTTGGAAGCGCTTTTAGAGAAGTATAAAGTAAATAAAAGTCAAAGAATAGGAACAGATGAAAGCAAGAAAAGAATTAGGCGATGTACCGGCTGAAAACAAAAATGACATGTATTTTAAGTCTTTAGCTTGGCTTCGCACTGACGTAAAGGTTTTGAGAAAGGATGAGATTGAGTTGCTTCCAGGCCTGCTCGTGCCCTACATGGCGGTTATTTTCGTCGGCAGAGGTTATATTTGAAGATTTGGCTCGAGTTGTTTGGAGTAGGTTGGTTATTAAGCCTCCATTATATCATAGGGTTTGATAAAGCAAACTTTTCCAATGGACAGTGACTTTTTGCTCAGGAAATCTGTCTTTAACTTGAGCGAAGTTGATTCCTGTTTAAGAGAGACATTGTTGTGGAAAATTCACCAGACGACTGCAACAAGTTTCCCTCCCTAATTCCCTCAACCATTCGATGGGATGACCTGGGAACGAGATTATCCATAAGGTATACCGCAATCATGATATCGTTTTAATCCTCGTTGACCTTCATAAATTTTTGTGAACAGTGTCAAGAGGGCTAAAGGCCAACAGAGGAAGGAAGTTTACTTAATCAAGTGAACCCTTTTAAAGAGAAAGCCTGAGGCCCACTGATCGCGTAAAACCTTGCTTTGGGTTAGACCTCGTGTAAACAACCGGCCCAGAGAGTTTAAGGGTCAAAAGAGCTCTACATTAACGAAAAGGTGATTCCAAAGTGAAACAATCGACCTTTTTATGAAAAAAACTGGTAAAATTGTTCATTCTAATAGTTTGTATTAGGCGTTCAGTTTGTAAAACGGTGAGAAATAGCAAACGACGCGATAGTAGCGGCCAGCGGATGAGCGAAAAACTAAGGGAGGTCTGGGTCGAGTTGCGATAACTTTTTCAGAAATGAATGAATATTCTCTACCAATCTCAGTTTCGAGAACTGCAATAACAAAAGAGAGGTCACCTCGACTTGATTTCCACCGCTCTCTCGAGTCCAGTCTTTTTCGTTCCTCCCGGCTCCCGAACGCGGCTGGTAATCGAACCCTAGGGTCACCCTGCTCAATCTTACCCCATTTCTGCCTGTTCTGTTATTTTATTGGTCACGCGTGTTATTTGATTAACGAGGGGTAATTGTAATTGGCTAGGCTGTATTGATCTCCCTGCCTAAGATAATTAGGCGAAGCGACATGAATAAATTGGTTGACGGTACATTTTGCGGTAGCTGGAAGGATTTTTAGTGTTAAATTAAAAAAAAAAAAAAAAATACATGATAGGTAGAAGCCATGAGTGTATGAATCAATTTGATAATTGATTTTAAACGAAATCGACTCAAAACGATTCTGTGGATGTGGTACATATTTTCTTTTTGATTTTTTTCCATTAAAACAAAAATAAAAATGGAGTACTTACTGAGGACTTCCAGAGGTAGTGCTCGCACTCCCTCTGCTACCTTTAAAATGACTCTTCTAGGTTCTCCCCTACACCTGGTAAATCAGATTCTTCTGGAAAAATTTTTGTGGATTCTTTTGTTCAAATTCGTTCAAGTCCTCAGTTGCACCCTACAGTATAACAAATAATTAATGAAGAGCCGAGAACACGAGAGGAAGTCTCGATCATAAATGCCCCTCTTCGGTGAAAAGAAACAGAGGTTGTATGATGATACTAGAAGGTAGAGCTGCAGAAGATTTGTCTAGCTCACATGCGAAACAGAAAACCTGCCGCATCCCACCTGTAATAAGTGCATAACTTGCACTTATTACAAAAAGCTATACATCGGCGAAACAGGAAGACGACTTGGTGACCAATTCCGTGAACACCTTCGCGACGTAGAAAGGAATGACAAGGACGCATCACAACCAGTCGCTAGACACTTTAATCTACCTAATCATTCTAAGAAACATATAGCAATCTGCCGTCTTTCCTTACATTTAGGTAGCTTTTAAAGCCGCAAAACTCTGGAAAAAAAGTTTATCTTCCAAATCGGCACTCTTAATCCCACAGGTATCAACGAACGCTTTTCATTCTACTAATTTATTCGTTTTTTTCTCGTCGCCATGCTCCCAACAATAGCGTAGCCTCACTTTCTGCATATAAACCCAGACACAACCCACAATTCCTCCATTCGCTCTGACGAAGGGCTAACGCTCGAAACATCAGCTTTTTAACTCTTAGCGGGGGCCAATTTACAATTTCATCTTAGTTGATATTACCAAATTACCTTGTTACATCCACTGACTCAGCACCACAGTTTCTTTAGAAACTTACCCTCTTTATTTATGACTACCCTGTTCCACAAGAGAAAGATGATGATTCAGGACTATAGTGACTAATTGATACTCAACCAATTATTGAATGGTAAAAAAATAATCATACTAACCATAGTGATAATGAAAACAACAAAAATAGTAATTATAATTTATGGAAGCTAGCTCCAGAACCTCACTGTTCCTATATTGGTCTATCCTTTAGGCTCCAATAATGATAAAACTTCTTTTCTTCTAATTGTGGCTATTAATTATAGTTTTTTTCCTTGTTTCATTGCAATTCTATTTTTGTGAGACTTTTGTTTCAGACAACAATGTATTCCGCGTTATAGGATATTTTATTTATTTATTTTCCTAATACTTGCTCTCCATCTATGCGATGATTCTTAGCAAGAGATACCCACCCATCCGACCCCAGGGGAGGACGTCCATCACACAGTAATCTCGTGCGTGGGAAATTAACGTCTCCTACCCCTAGCTGACCATGCAGGAGACGGGACCTCCATTTGTTCGTCTCTATCCGAGAAAACTAGAATATCTAACCATTTCTTGATGTTATAGAAAGGTAGCATATTCTTCTCAATTATTTTAAGACCCTGAGTGTTGGTCCGGCCATCCCATCGGTCACCTGTTAAACTCAAGGTATTATATTTCGAACCTTGCTAATTTCGCAAAATTTTAGCGGCTCCAGTTCGGGCGTAAGTCGCTGATTGAAACGGAAAAATGCTCTCTCTTCGAAGAAAACCCTTTTTATTCAAAGTTTCCATGATGATCAAAACCTACTAAGATATTTCTGGGAGGAAAAAGTCTTGTTTGCAACTGAGTGCCAGAGTCGCCACCGTGAAATTATTTTGAGATTTCAGGAGCTCATTACTTGGAGCGTTCAATACCCATTCTAAGCCTATGTCACGGCATTTTCTTAGAACGGTTCCATAGAGTCACTGTGAACTCAAGGTAACGTATTTCGGACCTTGTTCGCTTCGTAAATTTAGCGGCTCTTTTGAGCATTTGCCGCTGATTGAAATGTTAAAGTGTTCTCTTTTCGAACCGATAAAGTTTTCCTTCAAAGTTTCCACGATGTGCAGGTCAAACCTATTTAGATATTTCTGAGAGACTGAAAGAGTCTTTTCAATTTCGTGCAGACTGACCCCACTGTGAAATTATTTTGGAATGTTCATCATCTTTCTTGTTTTCACGGCAAGAACTGAAAAAACTATATCTTCGGATCTGCCGGGCATAATTCGCTGATTCGAACGGTAAAATACTCTCTCTTCATAGAAGGAATTTTCCCTTTAAGTTTGCACGATGCGCCAATTACACTTTATAAGACATTTCGGCGAGGTAAAGCTGTTTTTTCAAATGCCATCCTGAAAAAATTGAGATACTTATTATTTTCTGAAGTAGTCCGAAACAAACAATAAGTAGCATTGAGAAACCGTATGGTCACGCACCAATTCCGAGTGGCATTCGAAGCGATCGGAAGAAATCGTAAGCAAGCGTTGAACGACCGAAACTGTCCCTAAACAGACGAAAGCCGAGGGCGAGGAATATCGGGTAAAACTCGACAGACTTTGCTGTGGGTGGAGAGGTCGTTCGTATTCTATTGTTACACTAGTACTCACTCTACAGAACAGCATTATGGCTCCGTCTTCATAGGAGGCAGTAGCCATAAAAACTGTTGTCCTCGCTCATTTTCATTAAGTTCGGCACATGCGAAATTCGACGTTTAAGAACGGGCTTTAAGTAGCCCCGGAAACCGGGATTTTATTGTATTTTTGAGACATCAGCTGCACTCTACGAAGAATGGAAGATTGACAAGTAATTTTAATTATCTTAAAGTTCCCCTGAGGTCAAAATTATCGTACATCACTTTTGTCATTTTCGCGTTCACCTACCCTGCCAAATTTCAATCTAGTCCGAGCGCCAGAAGTATCTCTCTTTTTTTTTTTATCAGTTCTCAAAAAAGTTTTATATGTGATTCTCTGTACAGCGAACAAAGAGGGTTGTGACAAAGAAAAACATAAGTTTGTCGAGCCTTTGACGTCATGATGACGGGATTGACTGGAACATGCTTTCAATAGCTTTTTCGTCACCACGCTTTTTACTTGGGCAACGGACTTCGCCGAAAAGGAGGGACTACTTGTAGTGTAACGTAGTTGCCAAGAATAGGGTTGGCAGTTATCATTTGCTGTAGAAAAGTGTGGCGCACTGGAGCATGTGCTCATTAATATCTGTTGTGTCGCCTTAGGCACAGCCGTGATACATAGAAGATTGTTTTCCGAGTTTGTCTCGTTGGTTTCAAGAGAAGCAGGCTGAGTTTCTTGCTTAAGAACATTGCGGTCCATAACAGCATGAGATCAATAACAATGGAAAGAGAATGGCTCCCCATGTGCTAAATCTTGGAAAAAGCTAGAACAGTGTAGAAGAGTGTATGGTGAGTGTTAACGTGTCATTTTGAAAATAAAACGACAACGTAATTTGTTTCTGAGCTGCACACCTTCTCGACATTGTGCAAAATTCCTGACCTGATTTAATGAAATTTATCTGGGAAGTGATCACCACTCTTTACTAGCGAAGTAAGCGGGGCTCGAATAGACTAAATACCTAGCTTTTAAAAACTTTCACCAAAATGCCACTGAGAGGTTCCTTCAAAATTCTAAATAGTAGTCAAGCGATTCCAAAAATCAATTTGTTTTGCCTTTTCTTGTGGGAGACGGACTCAGTGTAGTCCAGGGCTCGACACTAACGGTAGCCAACTATTTTCCCCCAGCCAGTTTGGCTAGGAAACAAACTGAAATTGTCGTAACATCTGGACCGATGGGTCAATGGAGCAATAGTCGACAAGGCTTGGAATTTCAGTATTTTATTGAAAATAATAAGACGATAGTCTGAAGCTGCAATTGCAAATTTAAAGAACGTCGGAAACAAATCTCTTTGTGACGAAAAAACCAGAAAGGACCCCAGGTAAGCAACGAAAATCGATATTTTTCTTTTAATTCTGTCGGTTCGAAGTTCATTAATTCTTATGACTCAGCGTTGCTGAGTAATACCGAGAAATGCTGACAATGTGACTTACACGATGTCTTAGAAGGAAATCAGCATTTTGTTTTTTCCGCCATTATTGCCTTCTTGTCTTAAACTGTATACATGTATGTTGAAGTACAGATCTGTGCGAATATCTCGCAGCACGTTGTTTTGCGTTGTTTTCAAGATGTTAGGAGATGAAAGCTAGAGATACATTTGTACTGAAATATTTGTATATACCCGATTTACTGCTGTATTTCATTTGTGATTCAAATAATATCTACTTATTGACTGAGTGGGAGGGCCGAAAGGGAAATTATTTGGCTCGAGTACGCCAAGTTATATCGGATGTGTTATTTAAAGGGAAAGTACGGTCTAGAAAAAGTTTACTTAGATCAAAATTTCCTTGCTTGAATTGTCCTAAGTGGCTATTCATTTGAGCTAAAAGCGTTTTAGTTGCGAACAATTACGTTCCAAAAATCGGCATTTTCAAATTGAAATCCGCCAGCTTTGTTATGATGTAGCAATAGTCAAACATGCTAAATTATATCTCTTGCTGAAGTAGATTTAAACAAAAACAACAGCTGCGATGGAGGCGCCACCTATTGGATTCTCGACTTGGATTTTAATCTAGTGAGAGGATGTAGTAAATTCTTTGTTTAATGATCCCCAGAAGCTGGCAATTGAGAAAATTCTTTTGCAGAAAAAAGATGTATTGGTAAACCTGTCTACAGGGTTTGGAAAATCCTTGATTGAGGGATCAACGAACGCTTTTCATTCCAGAGACACTGAACACGAAAATGAAAAAAAATGATGTACGAAAATTTTGATCTCAGGGGCACTTTAAGTCGAGTGTGACAAGAGCCAAGTCAGAAATGTTTTTCAGCTGGAATTTTCACCATCAACCGAAAACTTCAATCCCCGTAACGAAGCAACTTGAGACAAACAATTAAACACGAGCAAAAATGACAAAAACAGTACAGAACTAAACAGAAAACAAATCGAAACTAAAAAGTGTATGAGTTACATTAAGACCTATATTTTCTTTGCAGTTTCATCTGGAATTCCTCATTCAATTCAAGAATCAAGTTTTACGCCGCCAATGAAACGTTTAAGTTTTTTTGAAAATTTTTCCTCCAGGCCATTCGTCCTCTGTTTTGGCCTCTTGGTGTTGTATACTCTTGTTTTAACTCCTTTGACAGACCACCTGCCATTTCCCTCTTTAACAAAAACAAGCAAAGCGAATAGAATCAACGATTTTCATCGGGAGTGGCTGCGTCAGCACCGTGCACGCATGGACTGGCAAGCCATAATTAATCCGTGTTATGAAAATATGGCCTGGGGAAAAGTGAAGGATGGTTGGGAAAAACCTAACAGAACTAACGCCTCTACAAGTGACATCATATTTCAGGACATAAGGCCTGCAGGAGAGTACTGTAAGATATTCATCCAATCAAAAACGTCGGATAATAGAAGGAAAGATATTGGTGGAGACACCTGGAGGGTCTACGTACGTGGACCATCGAGCATTGCGGCGACTGTGTTTGATCACAATAATGGAACTTATGAAGCCCTGTTCCTCATTATGGAGCCTGGTACCTATCAGCTGTTGGTTTACCTGGATTATAGTCTGTGCGATGGTTTCAAGGACCCACCACGTGACTGGTTTATTATGGGGAACGCTCAAGGGAAATTTCAGCGGGAGGGTCTTCTTGGCTTTCTGGATGATTACTTGGTACAGCCCCTTCAGAACGGAACTTATTTCGAGATTAACGTAACAAAAGCAGAGATAAACCTTGCATTAGATGGTTAGTAAACTGGGACCGGGAGAAGTGTTACGTATAATAACTGTAAAGATAACACGTTGTTTAATAAAGTATTTGGGTTTATAGAAGAAGAGTGTTCTTTCTATCGATTGAATTACACCGTAACATTCTTGGACACTCTTCAAATCTGTTGTTGGTACTTCGCCTCCGATCATAATCCCATTCGTTTCCAAGATCTAAAGATCAATTCTCTTCACTGATGGGCATACATTTCTTATAATATTGGATCTAAGAATTCGGCGTCAAATCAAACAACATCCCCGGTCGATATTTCTTTCCTCTCGATACGTTTCCACTCGAACACGTATGGATGCTCCCGGCCCAGGAGTGAGGAAGTGAAACAGTTCATCTTTCAACAACTTTGTGTATAAGAGAAACTCTCAATCAATTATTTATTTCATATTTCTTCTGTACAGACAAACTTCGTTCTTTAGAGTCTTGCCCCTCTACGTGTAATAACTTGTGGGATGGATTTGGTCGGTGGAGGAATGACACATGGCGGCCATACCTTGAAGGTAAGAACTCACCCGTCATTGGCAAAATCAGATTAGAAGAACAAATGAAGACATTTCCTTTGTCAGCATTAGTTTGTAATTAGTTTCAATACTAGGACTTGGAGGAAAAGTGTATTGTAAATAATGAAAAGAATTCCTAACTTTATTGAATGTTTTCCTACCTACAGAATCATACAACTGGTCCTTACCAGCAAACCACAGCTCTTCTGGCACTTTCTGGGTGTACGGTGATTCACTAGGGGTTCGCCTGTATCAGTCAATCAGCTCTCGAGCCCTTTGTAGGAAGCTGTACTCGAAATGCAAAAACAGCTATAACTGGCTCTATCCAGTAATCAACGCAGCAAAGAGCAGAATAGAAAACGATAGCCTCGACTTCCGCGCTGAGGAAGTCTTGAAGGCCATTCGCAGAGTCCTCACTACGACAGAATTACAGCAATCTTCCAGTCTGTTACTTTTAAACCTTGGTCTTCATTATACTGCCAGCGTAAATTTTACAACTTTCCAGAAGGTCATCAGTGAAGTCATAAACTTATTGAAAGAGACACAAGTCGACTCACAGGGCAAAGAAGGTCTAATGTATAAGGCAAAGATCATTTGGAAGTCAACTACAGCTTTATGTAAGCATCATGGAAAGGAATTTAACCCAACAGATAGCAGGTTCCTTACACCGCAGGTTTGTACATGTTGCAGGGCAACCTCTTTGGCCGCTTGTCCTTGAACTAAGACATTTAATTTATTTTGACCAAGAAAATCTAATGTTTTTTTTTTTCAGCGAGTTCTTTTGTTCAGCGCCTACGCCATGTCAGCCATGTGTCAAGCGGGTTTTGACGTCATAGACGTGTACCCAATGACAGAGTCGTATCCGGGGGGTACGTTTGCTGAAGACGTCGTTCACTATCCAGACAAAGTGTTTAGTGCCTTGGAAACGCTTTTAGAGAAGTATAAAGTAAACAGAATTGAAGGAATAGGAACAGATGATAGCAAGATAAGAATTAGGCGATGTACCGGCTGAAAACAATAATGACAGGTATTCTAAGTCTTTAGCTTGGCCTCGCAATGACGCAGAGGTTTTGGAAAAGGGTGGGATTGAATTGTTCCCAGGCCCGCTTGTGTTTGACATGGCACACATCTTAGTCGGCAGAGGTTACAGTTGAGGGTTTGGTTCGATTTGTTCGGAGTAGGTCGGTTGTTAAGCCTCCAAAATACCTTGAGGTTTGATAAATCGAACTTTTTCTGTGGACAGTGACTATTTGGTCAAGAGAGCTGCCTTTTAATTAAGTAAAGTTAATTCCTGTTTAAGAAGGACATTGTTGCAGAAAAGCCATCTAACGACTGCAAGAAGTTCCCCCACCCCCAGCCAAAATCTTTTCGCAATCAAAAGGATCCGGTAGGTTATTCAGTATGTGTTCTCTGAATGGCAAGAGATTAAGACTGCAACGATAAGATAAAAGTGATCGAATGTTAGAATTAACGGAACCCTTACACTTTGAGGACGGCCAGAAGTTACACGTCGTCTTGGCAACATGGGTTTCTACCTTTCTTGATAAGTATGGGGCTTCGCTTGGTGCCCCCCGCGAGCTCCGCTATCAGCCGGGGAATGTTTTTTTGGTTTGACGCCAATTTCAAAAGAAAAAAAAATGAAATTTATGCTGATTTAATTAAATAAACTTGTTAGATTCTGGTGGGAACTCGATACGAGTAGTCCAACAGTTGTAAACAGAATGGTATCAACAAAATTCGAAAGCTTCATAGCAATTAGACTAATTTACAATTATTCGCCTCAGGCTCAGTGAGCATTATTCACTGCGTCTTCGGCGAGTGGTTGTCAAATAATATATAGGGCATAAGTTTCTTTCATAATTATTTAGGAAGGTAGAAAACGCACGCTTTTGTGCAATTTCGTAGGAAGACAACTCACAGTTCAGTTTGCGTCAATGGATTGTAAAACGCACGAATCAGCTGAATGACAACATCGCCAAAGCGATGTAACCAGCTTTGCTAAAAAGAAACATTCACCCTCAATGAAATAAAAATACTTTCAGTTAAATTTAAGTCTGTTATTTTTTTTTCGAGCAATTTTTCCAAGGGCAATTACTACATTTATGATGTAATGCCCTCAATACCAATTATATTTGAACACAGGAATAAAACAAATTTGATATGAAGCTACATATTTGATATAATTTGAATATATCAACAAAGTTGAAATGGTAAATTGGCCACCGTTACGATTATAAAAGCTGACGTTTTGAGCGTTAGCCCTTCGTCGGAGCGAATAGAGGAATTGTAGGTTGTGTGTGCTTTTAAAGGCAGAAAAAGGAGCTACGTGATTGGTGGGAACATGGCAACGAGAAAAACACGAATAAATTAGTGGAATGAAAAGCGTTCGTTGATACCTGTGGGATTTAGACTGCCGGTTTGAAAGATGAGCTTTTGTTCAAGAGTTTTCCGGCTTTCCGTGCTACCTAAGTGTAAGGAAAGACCGCAGATTGCCATGTGTTGCTTAGAATGGTTAGGTAAATTAAAATGTCTAGCGACTGGTTTCGATGTGTCCTTGTCATTCCTCTCCACGTCGCGAAGGTGTTCTCGGAATCGGTCACCTAGTCTTCTGCCTGTTTCGCCGATGTAAATCTTTTTGCAATAAGTGCAAGTTATGCAATAGATTACATTGGCGGAGGTGCACGTGAAGTGATCGGTGATCTTAATGGATCGTTTGGGTCCCGATATTTTCTCAGTGTTGTGAATGAAAGGACACGTTTTGCATCGTGCACGAGCGCATTTAAAAGTGCCTGGTTGGTCATTAGTCTGAAAAGAACTTCTGACCAAAAAATTGCCTATGTTTTTGTCGCGTTTGAATGAAATGAGCGGAGGCTGCGAAAAGATAGTGCTTGTCTCTGGATCGTTTTGAAGTAATTTAAAGTTTTTAAGAATGATGGATTTAACTGAGTGGTTGTGAGGGTGAAACGTGAGAGTGAATGGAATGCGGTCGGAATCTTCCTTATGCGACGTTTGTAGTGCTGAATGTCGATCAATAAGTTGGGCGCGGT